GTATGCTCCTCTGGCCCACCTGGCAAGTTTACTCCTCTTCTGTTCCAGAGAGAGGCCGTAATGAGCTTGAAATATCCAGGTATTTATTTCAGATCTTCTCGGGAGGAGGGGTTGCGGATTGGCTCAGTTTAGGCCAAGAGTCCACTCAAAATCCAACACCGTGGCCAAGTGGGCAAAGACATACTGTGGAAGATGGCCGCCAAGGGCCCATTGGGTTTACTGGGAGGAGGGGCATTGGGTGGGGTCTGCACAGACAACCGAGAGGACTGCTCGGCACACTCCATGGGTCAAGGGCAGGCTCTCTGGCTCCTGTGAAAATTCCATTCCGGGCCATCTTCTGGCTTCCAAAGTCAAGCCAGAAAGAATGGTCACCTTCAGCCCAGTCTAAAGCTTGACCTGATTCATTTCAGGCCCCGAGATTCACCTTTTCGAGGATGACCAATGGTATGACTTCTATTTCCAGGAGAAAACCCGTCCCCGGGAAAGGCGAGCACATGGAAGTTAGCATTAGGAAAACCCCACCCCCCACCAGTGTCCACAGTACTCAGTTCTGAGTGGCTATGCAGCGGTCATGGACAAGCCAATCCAACAGGTTGCCTTGGCCAGAACTGCTCCTTCTTCTCCTCCCTCACTTGGGGTTCAAAAAACTCCTTTCAGCCAAGGTCATCTTGTTACATCCAATTTTGTATTTTTCTTTTTCATTTATTATGTCATAAGCCTTCTCCCGTGACTTCACACCTTCTCCATATTTCAATCACTATGTTCCAGTCCAACATGCAACTGTCATGTATCCTTTCACAAATCCTTTGCTTTTGCCCGTTCTTGTTGTTTCAGATCAACTCCACAAACGAATGGACAGCTGTGTGTTTCAAAGACTATTTGCATTCCTGTTTCTGTGGGGTGAATTTCCTAGTGATGGCTATCATCCATTTCACCAGACTGGGGGATATGACACCATGGGGGTTTTAACTGCTCAAATCACAATGCTTCTAAGATTGCTCTGGCTCAGACTTGTGGGAGTTCTGGTCTTTCTCCTGGGTTTTCCCTCCTCAAAGAGCTTCTGGGGAATTCTTGAGGGATGGGGCCATGTGCCACACATCTGTTGTGGTGGCCTCCTGAATCTTGGTCTGGGTCCTATGCTCTGAGCCGCCATTTCTGCCCGCCCTGCTTGCATCCCTGAACCAATTCCCTCCTAACATATTTAAGTTCTGCCAATGCAACTAAGTCCCCCCGCCCCAGGAGGTTTCTTCCCAGCACCCAGTGGGGGAGTCAGGGCCTCTGTCCCTGTAGCTCTCACGAGGCAGGGCCCAGATCACCTCTCGCTACTAAGGAGTCCCCAGCTCCACGCCAGCGGGCTCTTCCCTTCTGCACCCTATAGTCCTTCCTGCCCGTGGATGTGAGACAAACTGAACATCCATTTCCTTCTGTGGAAACCCCCCACATGGTCCATGAACACACAATCACTGTGTTTATTCAATGCTGGTGACATCGAGAATCCAAACTCTCTTTAAAGAAAATAATTTCCCTTCCCTTTCAAGACACTGTCAAGGTAAAGATATAGCTCATTTGCACAACTAAACAGACCCTTTACCTCTTGGTCTGTGGAACCAGCGGCTGGTTTCATGGTAGCTCATGGTCCCCCCTTACCCAGAACACTGTGCGGGTCCCGCCTTCCTGCCAATGACGGGCCCACTGGGTGAATTTCCTCAAACAAAGGACATCTTCAAAACAAGGTAATCAGCATCTTTTCATCTAGAAACTGAAACTGCCAACTAGCCTCAAACACAGCTCCCTTGTTAAAATTGAAAAGCAAATCACGTCCTTTGTTATGGGGTACCCCACTATTCCCTAGGGCGGTGTGAATGTGCCAACGGGTGCGGACCCTCTATTTCAGGGGTTACGCACTCACAGCTTGGCCCCATCGGGCTCACAGGCATGTTTTCTTTGGCTCATCACAGATACTCTCCCTTACAGTTTTGCACTGACTGCCAACATTTCACCAAGACATTGTAAATAAAAAATCTAGATTTCTAGCTTCCTTTGAGAAAGCCTGAAGATCAGGTATCACAAGGTGTGCCTCCCCACAGCAAAGTCCACGGGCTGGTTCCCCCTTCAGTTGGGGGATCTGCAACCCGGCACCGCCCCCCATGCTCTCTCCTGTCCCTCTGTGTCAACCGCCCTCCATCCCTGGTCTTGCGTTGCTTTCTTGCACCTGCTCACTTCTTGTGTTTGCCTTGCTTGCTAAGGCCTCTGTGGGCTTTTACTTTGCAAACCTTGTCCTAGTGCTTCAAATGCACGCAGCCAAACCATCTGACAGGAGGGAGGTAGTCATTTTCCTGAGCAGCTTGGGAGCCCTGTATCTGGATGTGATTTCGGTTTGATATAATGGGCAATGATTGAGCGACTGCTGTGTGTAAAGGCTAGAGGGGCCAGTGGGAAATCAAGCTGTTGAGAGAGTTATCGGTACACCTTGACCCCTGGTAGCCCGAGCCTGGGTGTGTGAGAATTTGCCAAGGGAGGGCAAACAGTGCCCAGTGTTGCTTCAATAAAGGTCAGTTAAGATAAGAATAAGCGTGCCCTGTGGCTTCCTGTCAGGGAGATAGCAGGTCGAGGGGGATGATGGGAGAGAAAGCCAGGTGGCTGAACACTGAGAGGTGAGCGGATGGTGGGGATGCGGAGACAGGGAGAGTGGGTCACAATTCGGAAAGACTGGATTAGGCCCTGGGACACACCTAGATTTGTAAAATTGTGTTGAGCAGCACAAAGGTGACATTTCCACACAGAGGATGGGCTTTCATGTAGACAGGGCTGAGTTTTTGATCCAAAAAGTCACAAACCTTCCTGAGTTTCACTTTTTATTTGTAAAAACGAGAGGACAAAAACCCATCTCAGAGGGTCACCGTGAACACGAAATGAGCTGAAATATGTAAAATGTTGGGCACACTACCTAGTAAACATGGGTGATCAGGAAAGGTGGCATGTAATTAGGCTATGTTATTTGGGTAGTATTATTGAGAAATTGGTAAATTCCTGGGGCATAAATGCTTGCCTTCATAGCTTGTCACTTGGTGAGGAGTTGCTGGGGGGACAGGATACACGTATGGCTCACATATAGGACCTTGTGCTGACTCAGGTATAGAACCACCGTGACACAGGACTCTAGAAAACCAAACTCAGGGAGACTGATGCATAAGGTCTTTGCACTCGCTGTGGTGCCGGGCACATAGTGGGCAGTCAGAAAGTATTGGCCAATGCAGTTATGAATGAAGAGAGCTCACTGAGAATGTGAAAAGTGAACATCCACAACCGTCTGTGGACTGGTGCTCTTAGCCAACCCTCTTAGTGCTGCAAGCAACAGAAACCCATTCAAACCAGCCTAACCCAGAAAACTAAAATAAATTTGGAAAGTTTACAAATGGAGGCGAAATGTGTTGGCTCAGAGACTGACAAGTCCAGATATCTGCTTCAGGCATGGTTGGATCCAGGAACAAAGAGGTGTATGGAGGGGGCTTCTCTCCTCTTCCTCCCTGTGTTGGCTTTGCACCCAGGCAGGTGTTCTCCACATGGTGGTCCTGGCAGCCCCATCCGGGGTTCCACCCTCTAGACATCCAACAATTCATCTAGAAGAGAGGGAGCCTCCCTTTCTAAACAGTGCTAACTTGAGTCTAACTGAACGCTGAGCCACCTAGCCGGAGTCATGAGACCATCCTTGTCTAATCAGCCCTGCTCAGGGCCTATGAGTAGGGGAGGCACAATTTCCCAAATGAAAGCTGGGGTGCTTTCCCCCACAGAAAGGAGACTAATTGGTCCAGGCAGGTGCAGGGCACTACTGTCCACCGGAAGGAGTAGAGTCAGGGGACTAGGCAATGGGTGATTAGGTAAGAGAGAGGGAGAAGCATACTACCAGAACGACACGCAGAAATGGCTAACCAGAGCTGAGTTGTCAGGACCGAGGCCACTGAGGAATTCCGGAGGCTATGATCTGTACTGGCATATCTGGCCAAGTGGGCAGGCAGTAGACTGATTGTAAAAATGGCCCTGATTCTCCACCCATCCCTGAATCCACGCCCCCTGCCATGTGACTTGGCATCACCTCTCTTCAAGAGTGGAACCTATTAGCCCTCCCCTGGAAACTGGGCTGGCCCTGTCACTTGCCAGGAGACTGTGGTGGAATGGTAGTATGCCAGCTCTGTGATCTGAGCTTAGACATCAAGGGGGCTTCTGTGATTTTGTTTCTGTGACTTTGATTTTCTTGGACCCCTGCCTCCACCATGGGAAGCATCCTGGCTATTTGGCTGGAGGATGAGAGGCCACATGAAGCCATCCCATCTGTCCCAGCCAAGGCCCCAGATGTGAGAGAGAGACCTGGGAAAGAGGGTGGGGAAGGGCGGAGGGAGAGGAAGACAGAATCTTAAGCAGGCTCCACACCCAGCATGGAGCCTGACAGGGTATTCGATCTCATGACCCTGAGATCATGACCTGAGCTGAAATCAAGAGTCAGATGCTTAATCAGACTGAGCCACCCAGGCGCCCCAGGTTTATAGGGTGGCTGTGAGTGGGGAACAAGGAAAGAACATACATGGCCTCAAAGAGCAGCTGTGGGAGACTCACAAGAACTGAACATGTACCAAATACTGTCCAAAAGCAACATTAGCCATTTGACTGTAGGGAGAGAAGAAGAATCCAGGAGATAAGCTCAAAGCCCAGTGCAGACTTTTCTGGAAGAAAGTTAAGGAAAGAGGCAATGGGAATCTACTGATGCAGGAAACGGCCAGCGGGAGCATGGGAAAGATGGAGGAAATTAACACATCGTCCCTGTCCACAGCAGCCCTGCTCCCTGTCTCCTCCAGCCCCTGACCTCACCAGGGCCTCCAGACACACATGGGAAAGAGCCTCTGGGATCCCAGCTACGTCCCACTGTGTCATCCAGCCCAACGCCGGCTCTGTGCAGGGGACCCATTTCAGGGAACATCACCCCGACCCAGCCAATCAGCCCCCGAGTCCTGCTGACCCAGCACCTGGATATCTTTCTGTTCTCTCTGCCCCTACCTTGACCACACCATCCCACTTTCAGGCTCCCCAAACTGAACTAAAACTTGTCTGCTGGATAAAGCCCCCAATTCTCCAGTCTGACATGGCGTGTCTTCCTAATCCTCGCCTCCTCCGGATCCCTGCCCAGCATCTGTCCTGCCTGTCCTGCTTCTGGGATGCAGCTGGCTGCAGTTTCTTCCAGCTTCCAAGACCCAGACTAGGTGCCCGGGCCCCCAGATCCCTGTACCCAGGGATGTCCTTTCTCCTGCTTTCTTCTGAGCTGCCCCAGGAGGCTGGGGCTGGGAAAGGGACCTCAAGGCCAATTGTGCCCACTGGCCGGGCATGTTCAAGGGCATCTGTCACCTTCTCCAGGCTCCAGAGTGAATGTTCTGCAAGGGCGTCACTCCAGTCCACTGGGAGCAGGCCCCAAAAGGAGATTCCGATGTCCTCGTTTGGGGCGGAGTATGCTCTGGCCAAGCTTGGAGGGGCAGACAGCAGACGCTGCTCCAGGGTGGGGGCTGCCCCACAGTCCATTTGCGGGTCGCAGCCCTGTCACCCCTCCCTGGGACCAGCCAGAGTCCTGAGGGTGTGCACAGCCAGCACCTGCTCCAAGGCCCAGAGCAAGGCAGGGCAAAGCCAGGCCTTCCAGGGTGAGCACACCTGTGGGCAGCCAAGGTTCACACTCCTTGGGGAGTTGGCACCTCCTCTTCGCCTCAAGCCCCCAGTGCTCCATTGGAGCCAGAGTCAGGGCCAAGGCCCACAGAGGGGCAGCCGGCGGACCCTGCACCTTCCCGGTGCCCAGAGCCTGACGGCTGAGGTAGCTGGAGCCACGGGGAGGCTGGGCCCCGTCTCCCACCAGGCTTCTCTGGGCTGCTCCAGGCCACTGGGACGGGCCTCAGGTAGGACAGGCTCCGCAGGTCACCAGGCCAGGGGTGAAACCATCCCCGAGCTGCGCGGGCCATCCCCAGCCTCCAGGTCACTGAGTGCTCGCTGGGGAGGAAGGGACACGTGGGGAGGTCAGGGGAGGGTCCCTGACCCCATATTGCCTCATCTCCTCCTGCCACCCCACCCCACCCCGCCCCAGAGAGCCAGGGAAGAGACCTGTCGGCCCCTTGTGGGTCACATCACACTTGCTGGAGGTCGCTTCCTGATCTGGGCTTCTTGGAGGTCCCGCATTTGACCTCTGGAGGGACTTCTCAGGGGCCCCTTGGGCCTCCCATCATGGCTCACCTCGAACTTGCTCATGAACTCTGCGAAGATGCCAAAGAAGGCCTCAGAGGTGGTGGCTTTGGAGTCCTCGCCGAAGAAGGCCAGCGCCCTGCCCAGCTCCTCCATGGCCTCGCGCTGCAGCCCGTCCAGGGCCCGCAACACCGGCTGGGCCGTCTCTAGGAAGGACTGAGTGGCCTCCGTTAAGGAAACTGCTAGGCGCCCTCAGGTTCTCTAGCTGCCTGGCTCCCACCTGCCCCGTGCCCAATGCTTGGCTGGGAACCAGGCCGTGTCCAGGGGCTCCAGTGCCTTGGCATGAGGCCCTCTCAGCCGCTCCCGGAGCCCGCCACGTCCAGCGCAGCCCCAAGGCCATCCACTTGCCTTCTCTGTGGGACAGTCCTTTCCCTACTCTGGGCTCTTTTCAGATGCCATGATCTCCTCCTCCTCTAACACCCACTTATAGTAGCCCCCTGACACTCTCGGCTTTGAGCTCCCCCTTTTTTTTCCCTGTAGCATTTGTCCCTAACTGTGCTCAGTGGCAACATGTCCCTCTCCTGACTGCCTCTGGCTGGCCAAGACCCGTATCTTGTGACCCAAACCTGGGCTCTACTGCCCACGAGGACAGATGGGGCAAGGCAGCAGGTTTTGGACAGTCAAGGAAGCTCCTCTTGAGTAACAGAGACTTGGTGCAAGTGCTTGGGTTCTAAATCACTAGGACAGATGCACTCCCAGGACACATAGCAGCCTTGCCGGGACCCAGGGTCTGCAGTGGCTGCTGGAGCGACAGCCAGCTCTCCCTGGCTTCCCCAGGGTCCACCCTGGTGCGGGGACAGGCTGCTCACTGGATACCGTCATGACCACAGCAAACTTGTCCTCACTGGAGGGGCACATGCTCTGGCAAGCAGCCTGTATCTCACTGATGGTGCCATGGAGGTCAGCCAGATCACTGGTCAGGGCCCGTTGGTTCACTGCAGGGAAGGGAACAGAACCTCATGAGCACTGACCTCCTAGCCCTTCCTTGCCCACTGCCCGACCGCTCGGCCTACCTTTGGCAGCCAGGGGCACTGTGGGCAGGTCCTGAGCAAAGCCCAGGAGTTCTGGAAAGTGCTGGCTCAGTGATTTGGCAAGGATGTGCAGGAAGGTGGACTTCCCGTCCACAGTCTTGGTGGAGTTCAGCTGCAAGTGATGCCCAACACACATCCTCCTCAAGGACCCCATCGGATTCCTGGTCCCGTGAGTCTGGGTACTCTTGGCCCCACATCTCCTGGACTGTGGCACTGATTCCTGGCCCTTGACACTCATCAACTCCAAAGTTTATAGTACTCCTCACTGTGAGGCTCTGCCGGGATGCCCACAGGCCTCCCCAAGGTGTTCGGAGGTTCCCTGGCCCAGATCTTTGAAATGCTGCCCCCAACCCCCACCCAGGAACCAGGTCCATTGCCAACAGCTAGAGGAGGCCACCAGGTGTCCTGTCCCTGGGAGCATGCCCTTGTTGGCAGATATATTCCAAGATTTTTTAACTTCTGGGTGGCGGGGGGCACCACTCACATATCTTCCCTCTTGTGGCATTCTGGAACCATATGTGGCCCTTCTGTGCCTCAGACATCCTAAAACATTCATATCTACAAATGGAGTTTTTCTTCCTCCTTTTTCAAACAACTAACCGTACCCTGGGGAAAGGTCCCAGAAGCAATGGGAAGGCTGGATATTTGAGCTGTCCTTGTTCAGATCCTAGGTTTTTTTTTGTGGGGAGGGGGGTAGGACACCTTGGCAGTGGTGGTGGTATTAAGGGGCAGAACCTACCAGGCGGGATTCCCTCCTTCTTCCTGGAGTCTCCCCTGCTTGTCCCCCATACTCCCTTTTTCCAGATCCTGAGGCTTGGCTTGGAAAAGCCTCCCACCCCCAACCTTTACTGCAGTTACATCCTGGCCTGCCAGCAGCCAAATTTTCCTTCTGGGGAGGGGCCCTCTAGGGTCCTGATGTTCTCTCCTTTCCTCTGCCACAACTTGGGGTGGGCCTGCCTTCCCCAGGCGTGACAGTAGGACAATCTCATGGATTACTGCAAACTGGTCCCCTCACCTCTGTCAGGAAGTTGATCTTGAAGCCGGTGGTCTTGTTGGTTTTGGGCTGTCCGTCATTGAGATAGTTGCCCATGGCCAACACAAACTGTGGAAGGGAAGACGGGCAGGCTCTGCCCAGGTCCTCACCCCACCACCCTGGAACCACTATCAGGATGGGTCTCCAGACTGGGAGCCCCAGGGGGCAGACAGTTAGGTGGGGTGGCCGGAGAGGGGGTGCGGCCTGACCTCCAGGATCTTGGCGAGCCTCCGGCTGTTCCTGAGCTCAAGGGAGGCCTGGCGCAAGCACTCCAGGCTGCCCCGGATCTCCTCCGTCTTCTCTTGCAGGGTGGCTTGGAAGTGCAGGCTTCGCAAGCGGGTTTTGTATTCGGGAACCGAGAGCATCTGTCAGGAGGCAAGGCCAGGACTCACCCGCCCCACCAGGACACTCACCGCCCCACTGCAGCCTGGGGTGGGGGTCAGCTGGCTGCCCGGCATTCCCTCAAGAAAAATAAGCATAACCCCAATATAAGCACAAAAAAAAGCAGCACAATCCCATCTACTTTGGGCCCCAGGTGGGAAGGAACTGGCCGTTAAAGGTGTAACACGGGGACTCAGAGGCGCCAGCGCGGTGGCGGTAGGGGAGCGGGACTCACGCAGCCCCGGTGACGAGAAAGCCCTGACTGGAGGCGGCCGAGGCCGCCGGGCAGCACCCCCTGCCCCGCCCCGGCGGCCGTCGCGGCCGCAGCACCTGCAGGACGAATTGATCGGGCTCGCTGAGGCGGCCGGGCGCCTCGCGGAAGGCCTGGTAGCGCTGCTCCTCGTCGGCGTCGGGCGCGAAGAGCAGCAGCTGCGCCAGGTGCGCGGGCTCCAGGCGCCGGGGCTCCATGCTCATGAGCACCTGCCGCAGCTCCGCCGGGCTCAGCTTCAGGTGAGCCAGCAGGATGGCTGCGGGCGGGGCCGCGAGGGTGAGCCGGGGGCGGGGCCAGGCGGACCGGGGGCGGGGCCCAGAAGTTCCCCAGGGATGACTGGGAGGAGCCTGGGAGGGGCAAGGAACCTGGGCGGGGCAGGAGCCTGCCCAGAGATGGAGAGGGTCCTTCCTCCGGCCGAATGAAGGTGAGGACAAGGTTCTCGAAGGGACAGACCTAGATACGGGTGGGGCTTGTGGGGGTGGAGCCAGAAACAAGGGAGGAGACCGCGAGAGGGAGAGCTAGGGACGGCTGGAGGCGTGGCCAGGACCCGGGAGCCGCTCACACGTGGGGGCGGGGGCAACGAGGGGGCGGGGCCAGTGGGGGCGGAGCCCAGACCGACACCAGCACCCAGGTGGGATCTAGGACCCGAGAAAGGGCCTTCACCCAGTCGGCATCGTCGGGGGGGCCCCCGGGGCCCAATCCACACAAGTGGATTCAAAGCTCTGCGGCCCAGAGAGAGGGCCACCTCCTGTCCCCCACAACCCCTGGGACTCCTCAACCCCTCACAGGTGTTGTAGGCCTTCTTGTGAGACAGGATCTCCACCACCTCTTTTTTCCTGAAGGGTTCAGGCCCAGGCACTGGCTCTAGAACAGAATATGGTTTAATGAGAGGAGAACAGGCTGGTGGGAGGGCCCAGGAGGGGTGTGGCCACACCCAATAACCCAGACACCCGCTGATGTGGCCTTTAACAAATCAGCTCCAGGTGTCCCCAGTCCCCTCCTTCCTCAGTCTCCCACTCGGGACTCTCTGGCCCACATACTCAGCATGCATGGTGCGTGCCTCTCCCCCATCCTCTTTCCCCTTGGCCTTGGGGTTGAGGTGCCCAAGGAAGCTGAACCAACCACCTCTCCACCTTGCAGGTGCTTCCTGGATGAACAAAGGCTTTTCTCTTCCATCCTGCAACCACCTTCCACAAACAATATCCTGGCTGCCGGGAGCCCCACCCAACAGCTATAGGGAGATACCCAGAGAAGGGCGGGGGGGGGGTGGACTGAGAGACTGGAAGGCACATCTAGTTGGCTAGATATGGATGCCTCCTGACCCCTTATTCTGACTGTGTAACTTTGAGTAAATTACTTAGCATCTCTGTACCTCTTCATCAGGAAGTTAGGGTGATCACAGTCCCTACCTCGTAGAATGGTCACAGCATTAATTTAGAAACGGGGGTGTCTGGCATTCTGTGAGCGTGCGATAAATGCCAGCGACTATGACTATCTCCAGTTTCAGATGGGAGAAATGCTCTGAGAGGTTAAATAACTCGGGGACGCAGGAAGGAAATGGCAGGTAGGGCAGACATCTGGGACTCTAAGCCCTGGGACGTAACAGAAGGCCGCAGGTGGGCTTACGCAGATGGCCTGGTGTGAGGGTTCCCCCAGGGCCCTCAGACCACTCACTGGTAGGTTTCTGGGTGCCAAAATGGAGCTCCAAATCAAGATATTTCACCATGTCGCTCAGCTTGTCATAGTCAGAATCTTCCCCGAGCTGCAAGGTGGTAGAGTAGGGGGGAGGTTCGGGGGAGGAGGAACACAAGCAGCTGGACTGCCATTCCCCACTGCCCCATCCTCTAAGAGCTGACCCAGGAGCAACAGAGGGAGATTCCCTCATCAGGCCCTGGGAGAACCCTGAGGCCCAGGAGACACTGCAGGAAAGGCTAAGTCACCCAAGTGATGAAGCAGTGTGCCGCCTGCTCGTGAGGTCAGTAGCACACACACCCGGAACACTCTCCATGCGGGAAGCAGCAAGCTGCACTGCGGGGGGGGAGGTGTTAAGGGACAACAAAGGGGCTGCAGCCAACCAAGGGGGCTTAAGGAGGTGGCTGAGAGGTCTGGCTCTGTCTTGAGGGGTCCTTTGCCAGGGGTGAGTTCACCAGAGCTGCCCTGGGCTTCCGATGCTGGGGGAATGGCAGTATAGACACTGGACAGGGTTTTGTTTTCAGTGCTGTGACCCAGGCCAGCCTCCCCTGGTGGAGGGCACCCCCAAGCCCCAGGTCACCTACCTGACCCCAGATGGTGCCTTCCGAGTTCTCCACCTGCTCCCACCGCAGGCGCTTGACGCTCATGTGACTGGTCTCACTTCGCCGGTGGCCCAGGCCCCGGGACAGCATGGGGGGTGCACAGGGCACCGGTGGGGGCAGGGGTGGTGGGGGCGGTGGAGGGACAGGGTGGCTGAGTTGGGTGAGGGGCTTGGCCAGTGTCTGAGAAGGGCCCCGGGGACCATCAGGGGTTCGGGAGCTGGGCTTTGGGTCATGGAAGGGCAGAGGTGGTGGAGGCGGGGGGCTGAGTGGGGGTGGGGGGATGTGGTCGGAGATGGAGGAGTAGGTCAGGGAGCTGCCCTCCTCACTGCTGCTGATGCACTCACTAGCGCTGCTCCGCTCATTGGTCACAAAGCTCCCCTGGTCATCGTGGAAGCTCATCTGCCCGGGGCAGAGCAAGGTGAGGGAGGGTGGGCTAGCCTGGGGCAGAGGGTGGGCTAGCCTGGGGATAAGACAGGCTAGTCTAGTGGGTTAGCCTGAGGCTGTGGGTAGGATGGCCTGGGAGAAGGAATGGGGTAACCTGAGGCAAGGAATATGGGGGAGACTTGAGTGAGGGGTTTATAGCTGAGTCAAAGGGTGGGATAGCTCAGCCAGTGAGTGGAGTAGCCTGGGACAGATTCTAGGCTGGACTGGGGCAGGGAGAGGAGTAGCCTGGGGGCAATCCCAATGGCATGAGCCCTGTCCCCTTTACAGGCCCCCCATGTCACACCTGGGTCCCCATCTCTCCACATGGGCTGGCAAGTGCTTACCTCCTCATAATCATTCTCAGGGCTCAGGAAGTCATCCACGACAGCGACCCGGGGGCCCAGCTGCTCACTCAGCACATCCAGGAAGCGGTCAGTATCCCGGCTTTGCACAGGGCGGGAGAAGGTGAAGAGCTTCCTACGGCTGGGCGGGCGGGCAGGGTCCGGGCTTGGGGGGCTGTCGGAGCGGATGGGCCCAGGGTCTGGCTGTGGGGAGGGTGCCCTGCTGCTGTCCAGGCTGGCGTAGGGGTGGGACTCAGAGCTGCTGGGGGAGGCCAGGCCCCCTGAACACAGTGGGTAGTAGCAGGGGGAGGGCAGGAGTCGCTCGCTGGGCCACGAGATGCTGGACAGGGTCCTGGGCCCTGGGGTGGGGAATCAAGTGTGAGGACCCCTCTCCAGTCAGTACCTGCATTCCAGGTGAGGACTGGAGGGGAGGGTCCTGGGGCAGGTTGGCTCTGTGTCCCTGGGCACCTTCACTTCCCCCTCTGGACACAGCACAAGAAGACCCTAGATGACCCTGCCCACCCCCAGGCCCTTCCCTGAGGGAAATCAAAGGTCAGAGTATGTGAGGGGGAACACTACTTAGCCCCAGGACAGGCCAGACTCCCCGCTCATCTTGGAAGGGACCTCAAGTTGGTCCTCAAGGGACCAACAAAACACAACTGAAAGGGCAGAAGGGCCTTTTCCAGGCCCCAGATCAAGGATCACGAGGCTCCTCCCACACCCAACAGGCCCGTGGCTGCCAGGAACATCACCCAGGGGTCCTGCCTTCTGAACGGCAGAGAAACCATCTTCCCAGTTGTGCCATTCACGGAGCAATGCATGCACTTAACAGTTTATCCAACAGCCACAAGCTCTTTTGTGGCTCCTTTGGGGAGGATCTCTGCTTTTCTAAATCTACAGTAGAGGTAAGGATCAGAGAAGGTGTGGGAAAGCCTGTGATGACCTCGACCTCAAGAAAGCTTTGCCATGGAGGGCTGCTGAGGTGCCCCACACCTCAGTCATGTGTTCATGGACCAAAGGGGAGGCTCCAAGGATGTGCCCCAGATGGGGGCAACACCCAGACAGACAGCCCAGAGGCCAGAGGTCAGTGCTGCTTCCAGGAGCCAGAACTGGCTGAGCCCCTACCTGCTGGGCCTGCCGGGCTGGGCACTGGTGGGGAGGCACGGGATCTGGACGTGGTCCCCACCTTCCCTTTGAAGCTGCTGTTCAGCCGGGACTCGAGCTCTGCATAGACGGCTGACATCTTCAGGGAGAGGAGGCCAGGGTGAGTCCAGCCCACCGTTGCCTCCCCCATGAGGCCCTCCCGTGGCCTCGGAGGCCAGGCCTTGGGTGATCTGGGAGGCAGGGATCTGCCCCAGCCTCAGGAGCCACATGAACCCCCAGGAGGGCAGGCAGTGGGGTCTCACCATCTTAGGGTTGGGGGTCTCAGGGAGGGACGTGCCGTCGCCCGCCTGGCGCTCGCCTGGAATTAGAGGAAGAGGCATCTCGGGGCAGTCGCCGGGACCTGCCAGGGGAATCAGGGAGGGTGGAGTCCACCATGGAGAGGTCTATCGATCCCTCTGAGCTCTTAAGGTTTGGGTTCCAGCCCAGGCCCTGTGGGCAGCCATCAAGAAAGGACCAGCCAGCCCTGGAGCCCCGGGAGGGCCATCCCTCAGCCCTCCTCAACCTGTTCTCGGGGATCTCTCATCTCACCCACCCCATTCTGCAGATGGGAAAACCGAGGACTGTTAGCTCCCTCACACCCAGTCCCGCCTTTCGGTCCAGAGCCTCACCGCAACTGAGGCTGGCCTCCAGGCCCTGGGACCGGAGGCTGCGGCGGCACATGGACGAAGCCCTCAGTGAACTGCGCCGCTGCAGCTCAGGCACCGGCTCGGGCTCCGGCTCTAGCTCCGGCTCCAGGTCCAGCTCGGGCTCGGGCTCTGCTGGGCGACACGAACAGGAGACGGGCCCTTTGTCCTCTCAGCCAGGAGATGGGCCCTTTGTCCTCTCAGCCAGCCAAAGTGCCTCCAAACACAGGAGGTGGAGGCAGTCACTGTCTGTACCAATCGGTGGCCCCAGGCCCTGCTTAGCACGTGGGCTGAGATGGAAGATTCCAGGTCTAGGCAAATGTATGGAATAGCTTTGCCCAGTCCATACTCTGAGCCTCTTGCTAAAATCCTCGAGCCTCCCCGAGCAAATCGTGGGTGTCCAGGACCAGGGACAGCGGGCAGCCGAGGGCCCGAACGCGGGAGATCTGTAGGCTGTGACGTCACTATGTGACATAGAGCGCCTAGAACAAGTGCTGGGTTCGGCACGCTTCCAATTCCTGTGGCCTCAGTGGTGAAATGCATGGCTTTATGGGCACATGGGGCCCGTGCTAAGAGGTGCGCGGCAGCGGGAAGTGGAGGCCTCATGTGGCCCCGCAGACCTTAGAGTGCATCTGCGTGCACCAAAGCCCACCAGCCAGGTGCGACCTGGCTGTGTCCTTGCTCTCCAGTTCAACAAATGGCAACCATGTGAATTTCTCGATCTGCGACATGTTTTGTGGTGCGCAGTGCATAGCCACTGAGGTCACTCCCATTCTGTGGGTGCGAAGCCTGGGATTTGGGGCAGAGAGGTGGGGTGTCTAAAGTCTGAGGTAATGTGGGAGATAGATGCTGCTTGAACATCAGGCAGGGAAGGTACGGCTGTGGGGCCAAGCGTGTGACTGGCCTGGGTGCACCCGGCATTTGTCTGCAGGTCTCGGGGCGCGTCTGTCCATGGGAGAGGCCCGGGTCGTCTGTCATCTGAGAATGGGTGCCTGACCCTCCAGAGGGTGGGCTGGGCAGGGCGGGAGGCTGCTTACCTGTCATGGCCGTGTAGCCCAGGAAGCACGCGATTTTCTCCTGGCAGAGTTCCTGCTCCTCGTAAGTCAGCAGCTGGTAGATGAACTGCCAGAGAACTTGCTTGGCTGGCGTGTCCAGCACCGGGTAGACGTCCACGATGAGGGTGTCAATGTTCCTGGGGGAGGATGCAGGAGCAAGGGGTTCATGACTCAGGTGCTCGCCATGGGGGCAGGGGGAGATGGACAAGGGGGCACTTCGAGGCGCCAGAACCCACCCGTGCAGAGACAGAGAAGTGGGGAAGGTAGGAAGGCAGGCTCTGGAGACGGGCTCCCCCCACACCAGATTCAAATCCTGGCTCTGCCACTTACGGACAGTGACAGACACTTACAGAAAGTGGCCTTTCTCAAGTTACTTAATTCCCCCATGCCTCAGTGTCCTCTTCTGTAAAATGTGGGTAAAAATAGAATCTACTTCACAGAGATGCTGTATGATGAAAACACACAGAGTGTATTGGGTAAACCAACTCACTCTGGCAGGGACTGGCAAATGATGGCCGGCAGCCCAAAATCTGGCCCACCTTCTGTTTTTGTAAAAAAAAAAAAAAAAAGAAAGGGACGCCTGGGTGGCTCAGTTGGTTAAGCAGCTGCCTTCGGCTCAGGTCGTGATCCCAGCGTCCTGGGATCGAGTCCCACATCGGGGTCCTTGCTCATCAGGGAACCTGCTTCTCCCTCTGCCTCTGCCTGCCATTCTGTCTGCCTGTGCTCGCTCTCTCTCCCTCTCTCTCTCTCTGACAAAAAAAAAAAAAAAAAGAATGAAAGAAAAATTTTATTGGAACAGCTACAACTGTGTGTTTACATATATCTATGGCTGTTTTCGATCTACAGCAGCAGGGTTGAATCGTTTCTATGGAGACTATCTGGGCCACAAAGCCATTTACTATGTGGTCCTTCATAGAAATAGTTTGCTGATCCTTGCATTATATGGGAAAATAAAACTGAGTCCGCGCATAACACCACACATAAAGATGAACTCTAGGTGGATAAAAAAACAAAGTATGAAAAATACAATTGTAAAATTAAGAGAAGACAGTATAAGGAGAATGTCTTTTGGCCTAGGGGTAGGGAAGGGGTTCTTAAAATTTTAAAAACCAAAGCCACAAGGCCTGAAATGTATTGAATTTGATTTTACAAAAGCAAGAATATCTGTTAAAAAAACCCCAACTTGGATACATGGATATTAGATGTAACAGAAGTAATAAGAAGTAACAAATGGGAGAAGATGTTTACAGTGTTTGAAATCAACAAGGACTCGGTCTCTAAAATATACAAGGAACTCCTGCAAATCAACAACAATAAAAAGGCCAGTAAAATAAAAATGGGCAAAGGGTCTAAACAGGTAATCTATAGATAAAGAAACAAAAAAGGCTGAAAGGGATATTCAAAGATGTTTAAAACAGTCATTTCAAAACTACAAATAAAATAAATGTCACTTTATGCCTAAAAGACTAGCATGAGTAGAAACCTGGATGGTGCCAAATGTTGGTGAGGACATGGGGATGAGGTGCCCAGGAGCACTGCAGGTGAGAGACAGCAGTGCTCTGGGAAGCAGTCTGGGACGACCTGGTCACATTAGGTAAACAAATACCTTACTAGCCAGCAATGCTGCTCTTAGATATAAATTCCAAATGAATCGTATATAGCATCATGTGGAAATGTGTGCAATGATGTTCACCACTGCTATCAAGATGGAAGAGAGTGGTGACAAACTGGTGTCTGTCACTGGCAGGTAAGTAGATCAGACCTGGACCCATGAGCCACAGGATTTTGGCTGCAGTTATAATCAATGTATTACATGTACACAGAGCAACACGGCCAGATCTGAACACAGAGGGCTTGGTGAAAAAAAACAAAACAAAACACCACACCCAAGAATGCACACAGGATAGGCACAAAGGCAATGTAGACCAAAAATACAGCCCATGGTGGGGCGTCTGGCTGGCTCTGTTGGAAGAGCAACTGACTCTCAATCTTGGGGTTGTGAGTTTGAGCCCCACGTTGGGGATAGAGATAACTTAAATAAGTAAAACTTAAAAGAATACAGCCTACAAAACAGCAGTGCCCACTCTTCAAGAACACGTCAGACAAAAGGATGCCCATTAAACTCATCAGACTGGGTGGCCGTGGGAAGGGACGGAAGTGGAGCTAAAAGGGAATGAAAGGTGGAAACAAGGCAAGTGTCCATCACGGATAAATGGACAGGCAACATGTGGTCTAGCCACACAATGGAATGTTATTTGGCCATGAAAAAGGGAATAAGTAGATGCTAGAACTTGGACGAACATCGAAAACATGATGTTGGGGGAAAGAAGCCAGACATAAAAGCCCACATACTGTAGGGTCCTATTTATATGAAAGCCCAGAATAGGGAAAGCCACCTAGACACTAAAGTAGATTCGTGGTTGTTCGGAAGGTGGGGTGGCATGAGGGGGGGGAGGGGCGGAAGAGGAGGGGGTGACATTGAAGAGGTGCAGGGGGTTTCTTTTTGAGTGAAAATGTTCTAAAACCGAATGTGGTGATGGGTACACGGATTTGTCCATTAAAATCCAGTGCATTGTACAGTTGAATGAGTGAATTGTAGGGTGTGTGACTTATACCTCAATAAAGCTGTTTAAACAAAAAAAGAAAAGGGTGTGGACGGGTGAGTTGTTTGCACGGACCATGACAATGACCCTATGGACAGAAGAGTGCGACAGACACAGGCTGCTGGCACTCAGGTACAAAAGGAAGACAACAAACCAATCCCAACAGGCCTGGCTGGCTGGTGGCAAACGCCCACAGGCGAGTCCTGTGACCTTTCTACAAACATTTCGAAGGTCACTGCTTCACTTGACTGAGGCTGGGTCATGTGGCTGGGAGGTTTCAGAGTCAGGGTTTATGGAAGGGCCCTTTGATTGCCCACTACCCAGGGGCCCCTGGTACCAACGGCTGCTTTCTTTGGGTCTCTCCCAGGAGAAGGGGGCTTGGGAGACAGGCAGGGAGACCCAAATGGTGAGTCTGGGCAGGATTTGGGGTCCACCCAGGGCAGCTCCCCCACCACCACCCTGGCCCAGCCACCTGTGCTGGAAGAAGCTCTCGAGGGCCCGGCAGATGCCATAGCGCTCGGGAGGCGTGAGGAGGTGCTCCAGCTGCTGGCTGAAAGTCCTCCCCTGCACCCGGATGCTGGAGGGCAGGATCTCTGCTACCCACTGCAAGGAGGTGAGCGCCGAGGATGGGTTGGGGGAATCCAAGGAATCGGAGTCTGTCGGGGCCACAGGCAGGAGAGGTGCGGGTGACCCAGCGTCCCTGGACCGAGGCGGTTTCTCTCCCAGTGGGAGCTGGGGACGGGGACAGAGGGACAGCCCCAGGCAGGGCCTTCAGGCTACCCCATTGGAATCTACAGCACCACCTGGGGAGGGAAGCTGTAGGTTTGGGGGAAAAGCAGAGTCCTCTGCAGACTTGTAAGTCCCACACGTAGAGGCCCTGGCAGGGGCTCTGTGGGCCACGAAGCCAAGTGGCCATGGGTGTCTCACCGCTGGCAAATGGGACGAGCCCCTCCTCCACCACCAGTGTGGGCATCGCGCCGCTGCCTTGAAGCATGGACACCACCTTGTCATGGGAGCAGTTCCTGCCAAGAAGAGATGAGCCTGGGAGGGCTTGACCAGGATGAGCAAGGGCCACGGCCACCCACCAGATCTCCCTGTCCTGCCCGTAGAGGCCACTCAGCAGTGCACAGCTAGGCCAGGACTGGAAGCCATTCTCCTGCTCATTTATCTCCTCTGCAGGAGACCTTCCAGACCCAGGACAACTTGGACACTTCTGGATGCACAAGGGTGGTGATCATGTCATCCCAGGCAGGGTTCCCCTTCAAGGGCAAGACACTCATGGTCCATTTAATTCTGTGTCCCCTGGGCACCAGGCTGGCTCAGCCAGCAGAGCCTGTGACTCTGGATCTTGGGGTTGTAAGTCCAAGCCCCACATTGGGTGTAGAGATTACTTAAAAATAAAATCTCTAAAAACAGAAACGAAACAGCAACAAGGAACAACCCCTCTGTGTCCCTTGCATGGAGCTGGGGTATTTTCCGGTTGGAAAGATAAACTGACATCCTATCTAGTCTGAAGGGACAGAGTCAAGAGTTCCCAAAGGAAGAGGGCCAGACCCTGGGGACAAACTGGTGACAGGCGGTCAGGACCATGGCCTCAGTGTCCCAAGAACCAGGGGTTCTCAGAGGATGATTTGTCACCAAGCTTTGACGTCCCCAACAGCCTCTGACCTCATGTCCAGTCCATTGAGGAAGAGGATCCGGTCTCCTGACTTGAGGGATGCATTGTCAGCCGGGCTCCCTGGGAGCAAGAAGAGAGAGTGTGCTGGTCAGCTGGGCGGGGCTGTGCTCTGTGAACCCATTTTACAGGTGCCAAATGGAACGAGTGGCAAAGGAGAGCCAAATGCAGCCCAGCAGACCCCACATTAAAACCAGCACCCCTCTGCTCTCAGCTGCTCGGAGTGGGGAATGAGCCCCTGGGTGGGGGTAGGAGAGTTTGGGGCTCAGTGTGGACCACAGGTCAGCCTTGAGCTATTGGAAAAGGGGGAAAAATAAAGAAGGTCCTGGGAGTCATATTTCTGTAGCATCCATACACCTGCTGAGAAGCCCCCTCTGTACTGTTCTCTGCCCCGCACGGAATGGTTACCATCATAGATTCTCTGTGCCTTTGTCGTGGGCAGAAAATGCACCTGCCTACAGGAAGGGAGCTTCCTCCCCCAAGCTGGGAAACATGGTGTATTAATCGTACTTGTTTGTTTCTGTGTTTCCTGAGGCTTTGGCATCTCGGGTTGTTGCTGACCTTGGAAACACTGCCCTTCCGTGGTTGGCCAGTCCCTACCTGATAAATTACTGGCTCAGAAGAGAGCCTCTTGTATGCAAACCGACCAGTACAGAGCTCACACCCAGTGCCCTTCCCTAATGGGCTCTCACACCTCAGGCCACGACAGTGCCCTGCCCTAATCTTCCAGGGCCAGGCACCTACTGACTCCCTGGGGACAGTTATGCCTCAGAGCCTGCTCTGGCTAGGCCTGTACCTGCTTTCGCCTGCCTGGCCTTATCCTTCCCTTCCCCCGTGTGGTCCTGCATGGTGTGGCCGTGCTTGGTGTGGCCATGTCCCCTCCTCTTGGGAGCTGTGGGGACAAACTGTTTTTCCATTGGCCATCACTTCCTGATCTGTTGACCTCACCATACTTGAATAATAGTAAGACCTGTGTTTTTATACATTTTTTTTCTTTTTGCCTCTTTTATCAGCTGTTCCTCTAAATTTGATTGGAAATCAAGTGGGGGAAGTGACAAATGCCTAAAGAAAAGGTAGTCTCAGATTGAGAGGGGCTCTCTCATGAGGCTCTGGGGACTGTCGGGAGGGGGGGGCGGAGGGGGTGGGATGCTCAGGGAAGACCTGCTGGGGAAGTGGAGTCCTTCCCCCGGGACTGAAGAGGCAGGGAGGGGAGAGGTGATGATGGTGATGGATCCAACCTGACCTGTCTGGAAGCTTGGGGCAGCCTGGGATGGGAGGACCAGAGGAGTTGTAGCTGGAGATTCAAGATTACTGGGTCAGGAGTCAGGAGACCCAGGGTTCTGGTCCTTGCTTTGCCAGAGCCTCTAAAGGCCTCAGTTTCCCCATCTGTAAAAGCTCTCACTGAAGCGTCCTATGGCTTCCTATGACAAGGAAGCCATGAGGTTACCAGTCTGGAGGTTGGGTTGGGGAGAGTAGCACCCCTGGGTCTTAAACATGGCCCCAGGCAAAGTATGCCTGGCTGCACCCCACATGGGGGTGGGGGGAGGTGGGTGGTGCTGGTGGTGGCACAGTTGGAAGAGACAAAGGGGAGAGATGACGTATTTCTAGAGGACCAGCCATGTGCCTCTTCCTTGCAACACTGTGTCAACGATTTAGTAACACCAAATCTGAGGAGAACTGTGACATGTCAGTCATCAGGATTTGGTGTCAAAATGATCTGATGGCTGGACAATGATGCAAACTCACTAAGGCACTTTCCTGGGGATCAGAAGTCGTCCAACCCACAAATCCCTGCACTACAGGTGTGAGATGAGGAAAGGTAGAAAGGACTCAGTGTCAGACAGACACAGATGGGGATGTGTCACTAGGAGCATCATTCCCAGGTGCTGGGAGGGCATGGATACAGGACAGAGAGAGCAGGTGACTCAGCCCTGTGGGGTCATAACTGGGAGGGAGTTCAGTTTAGCACCAGGAGACATTTCTGCCCCACAGAGACCTTCCACAATGGGATGTGCTCTCTTGGGAAGAAAGGAGTTTCTCCCCAGTCTCCCCCCACATGCCCTGGAGAGGCAGGAAGGAAGAATTCCTGAATCAAGAAAGCTCTGCTTTCTTCAAGATGTCACCATTCCAGGAGGAAAAAGAGGCAGGCTCGGTGGGAGCAGGAGCAAGGTCCAGACTGGGGGTAGGGGACCAGATAGTAGGCAGAGGCCCTGAGGGCCTAATGGGTCTCTGAGTCTGGCCTGCCCAGAAAGTGTCAAGTTCACAGTGGGCACTCCAAACCGGGCAGGCTGACTGGGTGCAGACTGGGCAGGCGTCAGATGTGTGCTGGTTACCTCAGTGTCTGGGGCAGTGGCCCCCAGCCCTCCCCGCTGGACATAGAAAAAGTCTGGATGGAGAACTTGGCTTTCTTGGCTCAAAAGTGACCCTGAACTTGGAGGGAGTTTGCCCCAACTCGGATGGTCCCTCTGGGATACTTAAAGGACATGAGCTACATGAGGTTAGAACCTGGAGGCAGAAGCGGGGGGGGGGGGGGGGGGTGGGGGGGGGGTGAGAGGGGGCTTCCTCCCCCCCCTGGGCACCCCCCCCCCCCCCCCCCCATCCGGGACAACTCGCCCACCCCTCACCAGGTAGGACAGACTCGATCCAGACAGGCCCGTGACCGCGCAGCGTGAAGCCGAAGCTCTTGTTGCCCTTGTAGACTCGTACTGTCCTGGGGAGAAAGAAGGGGCGGGGTGGGCTGGCAGGGTGCCCTGTCCTGGGGAGAGGGAGGCTGGGGGTGGGGCGTAGGGGATAGAGAAGTCCCGTGCCCTGCTCCCCTTAATCTCTCCTGACCCCCATCCCCACGCCCAAGTGTCCCACGCCCCAACCTCGCGCCCTCTGCCCAGATCTGCATCCCAGCCCACCGACTAGGAGGCATCCGCGGCCCGCGCCCGCGCGCCCCGGGTACCTGCGCGTGCCCCCTGGGCCCGCACGGCCGCCCAGCAGAGAGGCAGCCTTGCGCGGTGGCGGCTCGTCCGGGCGGCGCGGGGCCGCGCTGGCGCGAGTGGACACCAGGAGGCGCTCCGGCCGCTCCTCGCTGCGGCTCCGGCGCAGCCCCTGCGCGCCTTGCGCCCGCCGAGCGCGGCACAACTTGCCCAGCAGACCCTGTGACACCACTTCGTCGAAGCGCGCCCGGTGCTTCTTGGGGATGAAGATCCTGCCGGCGAGGACCGCAGAGTCGGGGCGCGCCCCCAGACCGCGCCCCGATCGTGCCAAACCGCTGCCTAAAGTCTCCTTCTCGTGGGCGCCGCCCTAGACTCTCCCGCCCCTACACGGGGGTTACAGGGGAATCAGCAGCCGGCACCCCAGTTTCCCTCTCGGTACTGGGACTTGCGCCCCAACCAGCCTGGGCCACACCAGGACCTCGCGCCCAGCTCTCCACCTCGGGAAAGTCACAATGGGACCGTCTCCATTACTGTGGCCTTGGGGGACCTCGGTGTCCCCTAAAGCCCTTTCCTGGACCTGTTCCTCCTCCTGCCTCCGTCTTCCCATTTCTGGCCTCTCCCCTACGCCCTCATTTCATGCCCTTGCACCTGCCAGGCCAGACCCCAGCCAGGTATCCGCCACCACCTGTCTTCTTACCTGATTCCATGCAGCTCTGTTGGAGGAAAGCGAAGCCACACTCTGGCCGGAGTCAGACTTCCCCCAGACCCTCATCACACTCCTGGCCTTCCTGCTTGCCTCTCTGGCCAGCCCTTTCTACAGCTGCCGCCTCAGAATTTGCCAGGACGGCCACAACCAGTCCTACCTCTTACACTCTTGCCGGGCACACTCTCTCTGCTTCCTAGCTACACCGGGATGGCCCTCCAACACCCAACACTGCCCTTCCTTCTGTTCAATCCCGCATGCTTCAATAAGGCCCTGCTGTCCGTGCCAGCCAGGCACTTCGGTTCAAAGCTTAAGGCACTGCGGTTCCTACTCTCAGGAACCTGGAAGTGGTGAGAGGCAGTGGGGAGGCTTGGGTGGACGCTGTATGGGGTCTACACCCTGGCATGAGTCCCTGGAACCTGTGAGTGTCTCCTGCGAGGAGGGAAGCTCTCTGAGGGCTAGGGCTGTAGCTTGGCTGGGAGCCACAGTGACAGCTCAGGATTTGGCACAGGGAAGGGACTCAGTGACTCAGTAAACAGGGGGCCCACCAGCAGCACAGCCATAGCTCCCAGTAATGGCAGCCGTTAACAACCTGGTGGAACCCCCTGTCCATGGCAAAGGATCTGGGGGCTCAGAGAAGACCTGTAACTTTCCAGGCCGACAAAGCTGGCCCTTGGCACAGCTTGAACAGAAGGCCAGTCTCTGACCCTCGGCATCGTGGCAGGACTCTGCCAAGGGCCTCGGAAGCTCTGGTGGCTAGTGAGGCCTCCTTGGCCACATCCCAACATTCCCTTCCCTGTCCTTTGTATGAGGAGGCACTGCCAAGGCCATGGTGGGGAAGAGGGAGGAAGACGGGAACAGGGGCTCTGCAGCCAGCTGAAATACAACCCCTCGGCGGTCATCCAGTGGCCCCCAGTCGGTTTCTGACCTCTACGGTAAGATTAATAAGACCAGGCAAGCAGAATACGCTGCCTGGTGGGAAGGAAGGGAAGTGGGTCCTCCAGGAGGAGGGGGCATCAGGGTTGACCCCACTGAGCTCTGCTCCAGGTTTGAATGTTCCAGGCGACCAGGAGACCAAAATAAGAGGCCTGCTCAACTTTTCCAGGACATTCTGGCCCGATGCTCATCCTTGCCCACCCACAGAGACTGCCGAAAAGCTAGAGCCTCGGTCTCATTGCCCAGATGGTCACTCAAGGTCTCCGGAGCCTGATACCTCCTTCCGTCTGACCTGCTCATTCCCCACACTGTCCCAGACCCACCACCCATGCCTCTCGCCCAAAGGAGGGATGACAAGCTGGAAATTGGCCACCTCACAACCTGGGCTGCAGCCCCAGGCTCCAGAAGGCCCTATGTCCAGCCTGGGCAGGGGCCTGGTGACCATCCCAGCTCCACCCTCCAGCAGCAATTAGAAAAGGTCTGCCCCTCCCCACTCCTTCTGCCCGGGATGGTAACCATGGTGAGTCACCAGCTGCCCAGGTGGGAGAAGATTGGTGGCCTTTTCTCTGCTTGGTGTCCTTGGGACTGTGCCAGATGCCCTTTCTGGCTTGCACTGGCCCTCCACGCAGCTCAGTCTGGCCGGGCACCCCAGGCCTGGGTCTGCCCTCAATCCACTGACCCTGTAGAGCCAGGCACAATGGGGCCTCACGGACCACTGTGGCAGATCACTAGTCCTCTGACCATGACAGCATGGCTGCCCAGGACTCCCAGGCCCCTCCTATGCCAATAGGCTTCTCTGAGACCACAAGACTCTTCCCTGGCCACCCAGCCACGATTCAGTCAGTCATTTCAGTTCCCTCTGCCTGGGGGGGGAGGGGGGTCAGGAGTAAATCCGTGTCCAGATTGTCCTAGGGGTGGCCCTAGGGTCCTCTCTCTCTACCACATTCCCTGCCTAGGCTCTCTGGCCAGGTCCCTGGACCTGCCCAGTTGTAGGAAGGAAAGAGGAGGGCTTTTCAGTCCCAGCCCTTGGTCCCCCCTCCGTCTCCCATCCCGACCCCCAGGGGCGCGTGCAGGTTCCAGGCATCCAACAGGGGGAACTCGCCCCCTTGTGCCGGGTGGGGTGTCCATCTCAGTGCCCCAGCCCCACCCCTTCTCAGGCCGCCCGAGATGGGTCCGCCGCGCCAAGGGTGCACAGTTAGTTCCCGGGGGTGCGGGGCGCGGTGGGGAAACTACCGAAAGTGCCGAGAGAAGCCCTGGTCCTTCCCCATCTGGAGCCGGCGACGGCGGCGTGGCAGGTGCCGACAGGTAGGGGTGGTCGAGCCCGCGAGGAGAGCGAGGGCGCCGCGACTCCACGAGCCTCTGCCGGGCAAGCGCACTCGGCCCCTCCCGAGCCGGCCAGGCCCGCGGCCCCGCGCCCGCCCCCTCGGGTGGCCCCGCCCCGCCCCGCCCCCAAGGGGGATCCTGCTGCTTGCTGGGGTAGGTGGGGACGGGGGTTTGGGAGGGGCGGTTCAGGGCTGTCAACGCTGCTTCCTCTTGGCTCCCTCCATCAGTCCCTCCCCAGGTGTCTCACTTGCAACCTCTCGAGGCCGGGGCTCCCAGGTCACCTGCACCGTGGCGGGTCCCCGGCCCCTGGCTGCTGCGAGGCTGAACCCCAAGGGTTCGGAAGAAGCACCGAATTTCTTTTGTAGAGCGTGGGAAGGCTTTCCGGAGGGCGTGGCCTTTGTGCTAGGTTTCAGGGAGTGGGTCAGGGAGGGGAAGCCCCCCTCCCCTACCCAGGGGGAAGCGCTAATCAAGAAGCCGGTGGAGGGAGGCCTTGAATGACATTGCCAGATGCTGAGACTAAACTTAGTGTGTGCGTGGGGGGGGGGGAACGGTCCTAAGGATTTAAGGAGAGGAGGAGGGACCCCAGAGATTTTAAGGAGAGGAGGAGGGACCCCAGAGATTTTAGTGCAGGGGAGTGGGAGAGGCTGGGAGGTGAACAGGGAGGGTATGGGGTGGGATAGAAACACAGAGGAAGATATATGAGATTTGGTGAGTGAGTGAGTGGAAATGAGGAGGGACAGCCAGGCTGGAGCAACTCCCAAATGTGTGTGTGGTGAGGGGACAGAGGGCCTCCTACTGGGAGAGAGCTAGGAGGAGAAGAGGGGGATGACAAGGAAAGGAGTCTGGACCCTTCCTCTGGCTCTGGGTCTGCTACTACTCCTAGAAGTCAGAGCGGGAGCAGACCGCAGGGAACCCACCGCCTTGTCATTTTCTCGCTGCTCCAGTCCCGCTTGCCTGCGGGAAAGGGCATATAGATACGGGGGAGCCGGCCCAGGACATCCTGAGCAGGGGGAGTCCTTTGGGAACATCAGCACCAGGCTCTCTCCTCTCCAGGAGTTGGCCGGGACCCAGACAGACAGAACCTGCAGAGGCAGAAAATCCTGGGACTCTCCCTCTGTCTCAGCCACTGGCAGAAAGGGACATCTGACATGGTTCTGCCTCCAGGTTCCTGAAGTCAGTCAGACCACGCTGCCCAGCACACCTCAGCCCTGGTTCCTGGCCCCAGCCTCCCCTGATCAGCCTGGGCTGCTTTTGTCTCTAGCAGCCAGAACTCACCACCGTATGCTCCCATGCTGAGTCCTCAGCCCCGCCAGGAAGAGAAATGCCTGAAAACCGCTACAGTGACTATAGCTCCCTGACATCCTCAGGGCCACAGCCATCCCATCATGACCGAGCCATCTCCGGAAGTTGGGTTCTGGGTGCAATGGCCCGGCATCCAGGACCAGGCCAGCCCAAAGGTTATGAAGGCTGTCCACCTCGCTGGGGGCAGAGGAGGTGTGAGCAGGGAGGAAACGCTCATGGCTGAATCCGGACAGAGGCAGAAGTGCACACACTGCCTTGGGGCTCGGTGTCCTTGTCATCCCCTATCCCTGTCCCTGTCTGTCCACACCGTACCTGGACCCCTCGGTCCCAGCACCTCAACACGCAGGGAAGGCATCAGAAGGGGAGAGCAGCTTGTGCATCAGATAGCCCAAGACAACATGGGGGGGGTAGGGTAGGGGTCAAGTGACAGCTGGAGTTTGCTCAAGTGCCCACCCCTGCTAGAGGGGGCTACTAAAGGCCGGTCACTCTGGACCAGAAACTCTCAGTTAGGGATTTTGCCCCCTCCTCAGGGGACATTTGCATTATCTGGAGACAGTTTCGGTGGTCACAAAATGACAATTAGGATGGGGAATGTGCTACCGGGATCTAGTGCTGCTGAATATCCTAAAAGACACAGGGCAGCCCCCAACCACAGAGGGTTATTGGGCCCCAAATGTCAAAAGTGCCACAGCTGAGAGATGTGCTCTAGGGAGAAAGAGACCTTCCCTAGGGGAAGCCCCCATGAACTGAGAACATACCACGTCCCGTCATTTCATAGATTTCTCCCGATCTCTTTGTATTACAGGTCTCCGACACTGGTCCCCAAAGCAGAGGAGGATGGAGGGGGTACAGGTGTTCCCTCGAACCCTCCCCCCAGATTATCAGCTAATCTCTTTTCTGCTTCCAGTTGGCAAGGTCCATTTCGGAGATTTCCTCCCAAGAACCCTGCTGGGAACACATAAGCATGACCAACCCCATCTTACGGATGGGCTGTAGAGGTCAATGAACCTGCTCAAGGTTGCACAGTCCGTGAGTGGACCTGGGGGTCCAAGGGAGGTCTGTGGGGATTCCACATCCCAGCTCCCTCCAGCACTGTCCCAGCACTTCCTTCTCCTACCTGCCAGCCCCTCCCTCCCCTTCCAGGTTTCCTGAACCACCCCTTATTCCCCCTGCAGACCACACAGCTGCCTTTGCTTTCCTGCTCCCTCCTAACCACGTCACACTTCCCAAGCTGCCTGGACTGGCCTGTCCTAATTAGAAAGTCATTTTATCACTTCATCAAACTGGGATCCCTTCGGGGATAGACCCAAATTAAGCTCTGAGCTGCAGGGTAAACTGCCATCATGGGGAAAGATGAGACCCTTTGCTTCCATTATCACCACTGACCCAAATCTTACGCTCACGGCAGCACCATCCAGGAGAACCTTTTTGATGATGGGCATATTCTAAACGTGCACTGTCCGGCATGGTGGTCACGAGTCACACGTGGCTAGCGAGACTGAGAAGCTGAATTTCCAATTTTATTTAGGATTCATCAAATTTAATTTTAAAAAGCCACACGTGGCTACTATGCTTCATGGTCTCACTGCTCCTTCTCCTTTCTCCGCAAGCTTTCTGATTTGGCCACTGGGACCACCTCTCAGAGATCACACAGTGACTTGGGTGGGTTCCAGCCTCTGCCAATCTCTCTCTCTCTCTCTCTCTCTCTCTCACACACACACACACACACACACACACTGCTTCACCTACTGTTTGAGCTCACGGTGTAATGTAAACCTTGTCTGTCCTCAATGGGCCATTCTAAGACCACAACTGTCACTCTTTGTGGCCACCCATCCTAGGCAAGGTGATTTACAGCCCAGTACTGTTGAGTACTCAGTGTTGGGTACTGAGTGGCCCCACTCTTATTGTGGCATCGTCCACTTCTGTGGCTAGATGTCTGGCCCTGATGAACTCTTCTTAGCGTCTGTCTTTCCACCCCCATAGGACACACTGCCAGACTCTAAGATTCACTGAGCCACAGCGGTGGCACCTGCTGCCTCCTCCAGGGAGCCCACCCTGATTGCCCCCCTGCTGAGTTGGCCCTGGGCAGCTGGCACTCAGGTCTCAGAATCACAGATGACTGTATCTGTGACTCCTCCCTGCCCCCTGAGAGGTCTCCAATAGAAGGTTCTGCATGGGGATCGCTATTGCAACCCTGGAACCCAGCATGTGGGCTGCCAGACCCTGGGGGTGGGGGTGGGGGTGGGGAGATGGAGTGGAAGGAAGTGGGGGTTGGGGTGGCTGAAACCCCACTGCCAAGGTACCCCTCTCCCTTCAGAGCCCAGCTGGGCACCGCCCCCTCCTCCAGCCTCCGCCCCACTTGTCCAGTCGTACTTGACATGCTCTGACAATAGAGGTTGCTGTTTCATCCTCCCCAGCAGTGCCCTGGGGATGCTGCGGGGACCGAGCAGCCCGGGCAGCCCGAGGTGGCCAGGATTCCCGCTTCCCAGGCTCCAAATCCAGCATGCCAAAGGGGACGCCTCCCCCACCCTGGCTCTTCCTGACCCGCTGCCGGTGGTCGCTTGGGGACGAACTGCAGACAGGAAAGCAGGCGTGGGGAGGCAGACAGGCTATCCGGAGAAGCAGAGGCGACACAGACGGAAGCCAGGGCAGCTCCGAAGGGAGGTGAGGAGGACGGAGAGGACCTCCAGCTGAGACTGGCTGCTAGCAGCCTTGCGACACACACGTGCCAACTTCCCAGGGGGCAGCCAGCTGCTGCCGGCATCCCTGGCCCAGCCCTGGTAGAGATTGGTGGAGTGGGGGGCTGCCCATCCATCACCTCCCCAGGGAGCCCTCATCTCCAGTGCATCATCTCCACTGCAAATTAGGCTGGAGAAATAACTTTTTTTCTCTCTCTCTGGATTTTCCTAGCAAGGGGCAGGCCCCTAACTCACCCCAGGCAGCTCATGGTAGCCTCTTTCGGTGGCCTTCTGTGCTTGGCTGCAGAGCCAAGCTGCTGCACCCGGGCTTTGGTGGGGGGGTGGCCAGCCCCATCCCTGACATTGGCCAGGCCCAGAGGGAGGGGCAGGCTGCAGGGTGAATGGCAGCAAGGGGAGGGGGCAGGCTGAGCCCAGGCAGTAGGGGGGTAGAAGTCGCAGGCCCTGGAGACAGGGTGAGAAGAGAAGGGCGCCCCCCCTGCAGCCCCCACAGGATCCCGACAGGGAAGGTATCACTCAGGCCCAGTGGGGGGCTCATCAAAGCTGCGCTGTGCTAGGCAGTGATGCCCCGGCAGGAAAGTGGGTGGGTGTGGAGGCTCCAGGTGCCAACCTACCAGGAATTTTTCTTCCTAAAGGATAAACTTACAGGGTCCAAGGCTGAGCAGAACAGAAAGTGCAGAGCTGATGGGTTCGCAGTCCTGTGCCAGCCACTCATTTGCTGTGTGACTTTTGGGCCAGCCTCTTAACCTCTCTGAGCCTGTTTGCCTCCGAGAAATGGGGATAATAATAGCACTGGGATGATTCAGCTGGAGAGGGTTCCCCTAGGCCCCTGGCGAGGTCCTGGGCACACAGCTGACATCATCAGAAGGCAGAGAGCACACACTGTGTCTAGCATGAGGATGTCCTTTCTGCAGGAGGTGGGTCCTGTCCTGTCTGCAGCCCGTCCCAGCCCGGCATCCAGCAGCACTTATGTTCTCACTCACAGCAATGCCCTGGGACTGGGTTGTCGTTGGAC